TACCTCTTTGATTTGCTATCCTCCTGCATAAAATGCCTGCAAAGATGCCCAAAATGAAAGTGCAGGAAGTCATTATGATGAGAACGGTTTGGACAGGCGATAGCGTGCTCATGATGAGATGGATGATATAATCAAAATGCTGTTAAACTCAAGACATATTCTGTAAAGAAGAAAGCATGTCATCATGTTCTCAAAGCTAATTTAAAAGATCACTTGAATCCTTCAAAAGAAGACTTAATTAAAATAATTGGTGATAGAAACAAGAAGTAAAAAAAAAAAGTTACTTATAATATTCAGATAAGAGCTTGGACCAAGACCAGTATAACATCAAACACCAGTTTCACAAGAAGAAAATACAGATTACAGAGAAGGAAAGAACACAAATTGAACTTTGATTTCAATAACAAAACTAAATTTTACAAGTGATCCGATACGGTACTCATTTAACTAGGCAACTTCCTCTAACTATGTAAACTAAGCACATGTAGAACTAAAAGTATGTTAACTACATATTCTGATTCTCATCTTGGGCACCTTAGTTGAGCCAATATTACATACAGTCAAAAAGAAAATAAAAAAATTATATAAGTTCATAACGTTATTATGATTCTAGTAATTCACCATAAGGTAAAAAAAGAATTTGAAAAAATAACACATTTAGCAGATTGGCAGAGGAGCACCATTCCAGCTCTTGAGACACTCCAACAATGGATCAATAATCTGTCCATTACACATTGCTGTAAACACCTTGTCAATCTCCTCACCGGGTGATCGAACTTTTTCACCTGTCAACAATTCTGTTCCAAGTTCTTGTCTCACCAACCTGTACAATGGATATGATCTGCATTCTGTGATCCTGTTAGGAATTGAAGGGTTGCCACTTTCAACAACAGCTCTTACACTCTCAACTTCTTTAGGCAACACAGCGATTAATTCGTCCTCGAAAGCTCCAATCTTTTGGAAGATTGAGCTGTTGACATTCTTCTCACTTTCACCATTCTTCATTGCTTGATCAACAAGGACTTGTCTCAGCTTCTGCATCAAAGGGTAGTTGGAGCTGCAGGGGTCATCTGCATAGGCAAACAAGTATTCCCTATCCACGACTCGAAGCAATTCCTTCTCACAGAATCTTGCTGGATGAAGTTCCCCATTAGCACCCATTGTCAAAGTTCTCTTAGCTACTTGGCTAACTGTGTTCTTGACAGCACTCTTCAAGTTCTCCTCCAAATGCCGTAAGTCTATAGCTTGGCAAAGCGCCACGAGATAGGTTGATGACATTAGCTTCAAGATATCAACAGCCTCAACTGTTTTCCTGGCTGAGATTAAGCCCAAGGAATTCACATCTTGGTTGTGTTGCTCAGCACTTTGGACATGGTTAGTCACTGGATTTGCCAAGAATTGAAGTTCCGAGCAGTAAGAAGCCATCGCGATTTCAGCTCCCTTGAAACCATAGTCCAAGCTTGGATTCCTTCCTGCTGTCAGATTAGATGGCAACCCGTTGTTGTAATAGTCGTTGACAAGCTCTGAGAATTGGGCAAACATCAATTTACCAATTGATGCAAGGGCTAATCGTGTATTATCCATGGAGACACCAATAGGGGTGCCTTGGAAGTTGCCACCATGTAAGGCCTTGTTTCTTGAAACGTCGATCAATGGATTGTCGTTCACTGAGTTAATCTCCCTCTCGATCATCTTAGTTGCAGCACGGATGACTTCAATTTGAGGGCCAAGCCATTGTGGAGATGTTCGGAGAGCATAACGATCTTGCTTTGGTTTTTGAAGAGGATCCATTTCATGGAGCTTCTGAGCTGCCTTCACATAAGAGCTTCCATCCAAAATGTGTTCCATAATAGCAGCAGCCTCAATCTGACCAGGGTGATGCTTCAACTTGTGTGTCAAATAGTCAGTGAATTCGGGCTTTCCGTTCATCACTTCAGCGAAAATCGCTGATAAAACTTCAGACATAACAGCAAGAATGTTGGACTCAAACAGGACTATTGATGCCATAGCAGAACCAACTGCTGTGCCATTCACAAGTGCAAGTCCTTCCTTAGGCTGCAACTCGAAAAATCCACCAGTAACACCAGCCACGCGGAAAGCTTCCTCAGCATTAAGTTTCTCACCATTGGGCCCAACAACCTTGGAGTTAGGCCTGCCAGTGAGCAAACCAGCAATGTAGGACAAAGGTACAAGATCACCCGAGGCGGTGATCGTACCACGGAGGGGCAAACACGGGGTGATGTTGCTGTTGATCAACTTAGTAATTGCTTCCAAGATTTCAAATCTAATGCCAGAGTAGCCTTGAAGCAAAGTGTTGATCCTAACAAGCATAGCTGCCCTTGTTGCTGAATGTGGCAATGTGTGAGATGTTTCTGTTCCATTACCAAAAACTCCAGCATTCAAGAACCTGCAAAAATATCATATTCATCAAGATCACATTTTTAACTGAATTCATCCGAAACATCTACGCGTAATATGACTCTATACATACAAAGTAAAATTTTATTTGGCTCAAATATGGCATCGAAACTTTTTTTAGTTAACAAATAATGGCATGGATGAGGCTTTTCTTAAACAGAAATTGCATAAATGAGCTAAACTTTAAACAGAAGACATAGATGAGCCTTTTTCTCAAAGTTCGATGGCATATCCCAATAATAAATAACGAACTCGTTTACTGAAAATCTTGCAGCTGTCATTGGAGTACCAACTATATATTGTTTTTAAGTTTAGATAATGCAATTAATCAAATTTGTTACTTAGCTAAATTTATAATCAACAATGGTTCAGAATGCTATAGCTAGAAAACAAGAAACATAAAAATGTGTGTCATCATAAAAAAAAAAAAAATAACTTTTCTAATGGAGCATATGATGTCTATGGCCCGAGATTGAGTACTCAAGGTAGTCGATAAGCTATATATAACAAAAAATATAAAATTCTTTATGTTGTCGGTGTATATAACGAAAAAAGTAGTTTGTTTACCTAATAAGTTCTTTTTGAAGAGCACCACCATTTTTTGTTCTTCTATGAGATGTTGCACCAAATCCAGTAGTAACACCATAACTATCTGTACCTTTACTCATACTATCCATCACCCAATCACTACTAGCTTTCACACCAGCCCTTGCACTTTCAGAAAGTTCCACTTTGACCCCATTACTTTTGTTATCAACATTTGCAATGGATGCAACTTGTGCAACTGTCAAAGTTTCACCCCCAAGTTTCACAATTGGCTTTCTAAATTCATCCACCATCTTTTTCACTTCATCCAAATGACTCCCTCTTAAAGAATCAGCAGCCATTTCCCAATTTAATGGATCATAATTTGATTTCTTGCACAAATCCATAGCCACTTCTTCTACTTCTCCATTAATATGTCCATTTTGTGCAATTGATGGTGCCATTGGATCAAGAAATGGTTATATTTGTAATGAAGAAATTTTAGTGAAGAGAAAATGGTTAGAGTTTATTTGTGTATATATATAAAAAAATGTTGTGAACTTACAAAACTTTTTGTTTTGGTTGTGGTAGATGAGATATCATGTGGTGAGTATAAATAGAGAGGAACAAATGAAGGTTGGTATACAAAATACGTGAGAAGCAATTGCTAGGAAAAAGACTAAAATGGTGGTTGTTGAAAGATTAATAGTAACCCGTCGGTTCATTTTTATTTGTCCCTATTTAACTTGACATACTCATTAATTAAATAATTATTGACATAGGTATCAATTGATGTTTAGTATTAGATCATCAAAAATGATTTGGAGAATAGTATTTAATATTAAGGGTAATATATGAAAAGAATAATTGTCTTTTCTTGATTTGTTAAAAGTGACTAAAAAAAATGAAAATATATTTAGGAATAAGTAACGAGTAAAAATGAACGGAGGAAGTATTATATATAATCGATTTTATTATAAGTTATGAATGAATATATTTTTATTAAATTCTGAATTTATTAAAAAGGAACGGATTTTATTTATATTGGTCAAAACCTAGTATGAGTCAAACTTAACAACTAAACATATAGTACAAACCAAGTGATTTCTATGTTACTGCCATATCTTCTTGTTTTATTTTTTTAAAAAATATTTGTAAATTTGACTTTTTAAATAGGGTAGGAAGGTTGATAGAAAATTGCCGGCTTTGACTAGGAAAACACTTGAAGAAAATAAGATGATAAAAATTGAAGAAAGTTTCTTTGTGAACCAAGTGGGTCCACTTTTGTTAGGTTTTTTTCCATGTATATCCATTAATTAATTTAAAATATGCTTCAAATTGCATTCATACTTGAGTGTTCACCTATGAGTGAGTTTCCACTTTATTGGATTGGGCAACTATTATTTTCTAATCTTTTAACTAATAGATCTGATTAATTTAAATTTTTGTTAGGTAGGATCAATCTAAGAGGGAAACACTTTATATGGTGATCCTCAAATTTCAAGGCTCAATGTAGAATGTAAAGATTTCTCCAATTGTAAAGGCGGATCTAAGGGATTGTCAGGGTGTTCACTTGAACCTTCTCAATAAAAAAATTATATATTATATATGAGATATTTTTTAATGTATATATTCAGATTTTGAATCGCTTGAACACAAATTTAAAGGTTGAGTTAGTGGCTTAGGAGGTTCAAACTTTAACTTAAGGTTCCAAGTTCAAACATCATGCACACTATTTTTATTTTACGAACCCTTATTTAGTGAAAATATGACATCCGTCACTGTTTGGTTGTATAACTTTTTGAGACATCTCCTTAGTAAAATATCATGTTTTTATTTCTTTTACGATTTATGAACTATTCAAATCACAATTTAAATATTTTTTTTGAGAAAAATGACAAGTTTTTTTGAGAAATGTTTGATCACGATTTAAAATTATGTAATTTATTATGAATGCTAAATGACTGTCTAATATTTTATTTTTAAAATTGAGCAATTCAGGAGCAAACATTAAATTTGAATTTAACACTGTCCGAAAAGAAACTTCTCAAGAAATATATTTACACGTACTTAGAAAATCTAAATTAACTTACAAAGAATACACAAACTGGCTCAAAATCTTTAAATAATTAAGGATTAGTCAACATATCATGTCACCTTGATGCGATGTGGCGAAAAAGAAGATACTATTTCAATGATTATGTTGGCGTTAAGATTTCAAACTTGTCGTCTACTTTCAGGAAAGGTTATGATGAGTGTGATCACCCCCTCTTTCGATCATGCCTATCCAGATTCTCTCGATAGTCTCTTAGGTCCTTTTTTTCAGTGCAACACTGGAAAGCGCCCTCTTTTTGTCATCCCTGCAGCTTTTCAGATTTTGTATTGAACGCATGCCGTAGCTAGGACCCTTCAAATTTTGTTTGAGCCTATGTTCAAGCCAAACCCACCCCTATACCCTTGAAGAATTGCTGCTGCATATATTCTCCTTCATTTCGGCGTACCTAATTAATATATGCTTATTTATTTGATGAAGCCCTTCTAATTTCCTATAGAGAAAAAAAAGATTTAACTTTATCATAATATCTTCTCCAATTCTCGATTAGATAAACATAGAATATTAAATAAACATGGAGCGATCAAATTTACTATCGATACTGAACTTCTTGATAATTAGCAACTGAAAAGGATAAAAAAGGAAAATAATTATCAAATTTGTTCTTGTACTATTTAAAATTAAGAGAAGTATTGCAAACGCTTCAGAACTTAGCGTGAATTATTTGTTTCATGTTTAAACTATTGACAACCTTAAAAACACAATTTTACTTGACTAAGTGAACTTAAATACACCTCTGATCTTGCAACATTAGTGAAATACACCTGTAATTTTCTTCAAGTTTAAGGATGTCTTCAACACTTCTATCGATTTTTATTAAAAATATCATACTTCTACAAGAATTTGAGACTACTTGCTATGTGATGTGGCATATTGGGTATATGTAAGTTTAGTGTAACACCCCGAAATTTCTAAGTAAGACCCGAGTCATTCTTCATTTGCATATAAGATCGTAGCAGGTGATTCTTAAATTGTTCTTAGGCAATGAGTTCATTCCTTTAGTGTGGGAATGAATTTGGATATGAATCAAGGTCACTAAAATACCCTAGCACAAATTTGAGTTGAAAGCTTCCTTACCGATCGAGTTTTGATATAATATTCTACTTAGGTCAACTTCAAGCGATCATATCTCTTAACACATGATGAATTAGGGGGCATATGATCTATCAAATTAAAGCTCTATGAGTTTTCTTTCCAATGACACCAAGTTTGCATTATTACGCGTTTGGAGAAAAAGGTTATGATTGTTTTACTGGAATATACCCGGACTGAGAAATTCGGCAAGGTCACATGCTCAATTGGTGAATCGCCGAATTAGCTTGCCTAAATGTCTCGAAAATCTTAAGTCTCGGTCTATTTGGGCGATCTAAATTCCAATTGGGCGACTCGCCAACTATTTCGGTGAGGAAATCTCCAGATCACCGATTTGGTCGACGAAATTCATTGAAAGGTCATTTTTTATTTTTATGGTCCTCTTACGTTTCCAGAAGAGTACTATTCTTGAACTTTTACCCTCAATTAACTTCCCTAATTCTATCTCATATTTTCAGCCTGCTTTGTCACACGGGTTGATTGGTTATTAAGGAGTTTTCTTGTGACCACTACGTCAAGGGTTCAAGGCTGGTACCCGAGAAAATCACTGGTTAATATAGGTATACTAAAATACCTTTTAAAAAAATAAAAATAAAATAAAAAAATTCTATCTCATATCCTAATAATCTCCCTATTCACGCTCAACCCTCAAACAAATCAAATTTGCATGTTCTGAGTTCTCTCAAAGAAGAAGCTAGGCTTCTTCAACTTCAAGCCTTATTTCAAGGTGTTAGAAAAAAATAGTAAGAAAAATAAAATAAAAATTGAAGGGTTAATCAAGAAGGTTGTTGCCAGAATCTTCTCTTGGCAAAACAGATTCTTATCCTTTGGTGGAAAATACATTTTGATAAATCATGTACTACAGTCCATACCTATTTACATGCTATCAACTATGTCTCCACCAAAACGGGTTATAGAACAAATTCACCAGCTCTTTGCTAAATTCTTTTGGGAGAATTATACAGAGGTGAAAGGTAAACATTGGGTTACATGGATTGATATGTGCTATCCAAAGAGGGAAGGGGGGATGGGTTTCAAATCGCTCTTTGATATATCTAATGCTCTCTTTGCTAAATTGTGGTGGATGTTTAGAACTCAGACATCTTTATGGAGCACATTTATGTGGAACAAGTATTGTAAAAAACACCATCCCATAATGGCGCATAACAGAGGTGCATCTCAGGTATGGAGAAAAATGATACGGGTCAGGGAAGATGTGGAGCATGAAATTTGGTGGCAGCAGAAGGAAGGGAATGCTAGTTTCTGGATGGACAATAGGACAAAACAAGGTGCTCTTTATTATATAGAACCACAAGGAGTAGAGGAAGAAGTGGAGGCCAAAGAGTTGATTCAGAATGGGCAATGGGACATAGCAAGACTACAACAATTATTGTCTCAAGATATGGTAGAATGCATTGTGGATAGTATCGGTCCTAAATTGAGTGTGGGTACTCAAGATAAGGCCTGGTGGATGGGTAATTTACATGGAGAATTTACTGTGAGATCATCATTTCATGTAACAAGACAGAAAATGGAAGAATTTGAATGGATGAATAATATCTGGATTGGGGGATTACCATTTAAAATCTCTTTCTTTTTCTGGAGAATATGGAGACAGAGAATCCCCACGGATGATGTTCTTAAAAGGATGAGGGTACATGTGGTATTGAAATGCTACTGCTGCAATGAGGGGAAGGAGGAAACAATGCAACACTTATTTCTAACAGCTCCCATAGCCCAAAAGCTATGGAAGCATTTTGCTTCATGTGCAGGTATTAGCATTGAAGGAGTTCAATTACAACAATTGATTACTATCTGGTGGGATTGGCCAGGACAGTACAAGGTTAAACAATTTTTTAAAGCCATACCAACAATTATTATTTAGGAGCTGTGGAAAAGGAGAAATGCTAGAAGGCATGGAAAAAATGTTACATATGCGAGGTTATTAGGGCAATGTCTACAAATTGTTCAATGGTTCATTAGAGTGAAGTATCCGTGGATAAGAGGAAGGATTCAGAATTAGAGGGAGATGCTCACCACTCTAGTGCATATAAACCTACACTATATTATAGAATAGTTTATTGGGAGAAACCAGATCAGGAATGGGTGAAATCCAATACAGATGGTGCATGTAAAGAAAATCCTGGACAGAGCTCTTATGGATTTATCATACGAAATAGCAGGGGAGATTTAATATATGCGGAGGCACAGAAGATAGGGGAAGCCACCAATATGGAAGCTGAAATTATGGGTGTGTTAAAAGCAATGCAATATTGCGAAACACAAAACTTTCAAAAGATAATTCTGGAGACATACTCATTAGTACTTACAAATGTGTTGGTTAAACAATGGAGGATTCCTTGGTTACATGCTGAAAATATAGAGAATATACAGCAAAGCATAGCAAGGAAGCAAGTTCAGGTAAAGCACATATTTCGGGAAGCTAATCAATTAGCAGATTATCTGGCAAACATGGCCCTAAATCAAGCAGACCAAATACAAGTAAATAACTTCTATGATCTACCAAGCATTGGAAGAAGAATTCTCAACATAAAAAAACAACACATTCCATCATTGAGAATTAAAGCAAAGAGAATCAATCCATCATGATAAGCGAGAATATCTACAAACCAGAACCATTCAGCTACAATATTTACAGGTTCTGTCTTCTAAGAGACGATCTAGCTACGTTAGCGCTACTTCAACTTACAAAAAAAGATCAGCACAAGGGAGGGAGGGGGGATCTCAAACCAGGTCAATGGAGCACATACTCGATTCAGCAGGCCGATATCCTCAAAGCCTTTAGAAGGAGCGTCATGGTTCAATCCCAACAAAAAGTTATGCGAGATTTCCAAACACCTCCACCGGGATGCACATCTACAAGAAGGGGAAAGTTAACAGGGAAACTAGCTGGGAGAAGCACAGAAAATAAAGTGAATACCTTTGTGAGCTGTTATATCACCTCACTATCCATGGATGCAGAATATTGATGACCCAGAGGTGGAGAAGAATAAAAAACAAAGAAAAAGGAACAAGAAATATGGAGGTGGTGGAATAGAGGAGAACTCTTTTAGGAAATCCTACTCTTAGTCTTTTACTTCCTATTTTGGGCCATCTTTCTCTTGCTTATTTGGGCTTATTTTGTCATATGATGTAAGGATTTTTCAGATGAAATAAATGGACCCCTGGTCCAAAAATTCATCAAAAAGAAAAAGTAAGAAGACGATGGTTTTGAGGTGTGTAATCACTTTCTTGAAAGAGATATTGCCCATGTTCATATTGGGGTAAATACAAACAATTCTCTTCAAGGATACAACAAAGCCCTTTGTTTATACATGCAGATTTTTCTTAGGCTACTTCTAGAGAGTCTTTATATTTATAGTACTTAAGAGATGACTCTTCATAAGAGTCATGTTCTTTCATGAACATATGACTTTTCATAAAAATCATGTTCTGAACAAATAACTTTTCATAACAGTCATGTTCTTTCACAAAAAAATATGCCTGTTCAATTTAAGACCTCTATATATTACAAAATATCCAACAATCCCTCCACTAGTTTATAATGTTTCTCATAATATCATGCATACAAAGAGTATCTTATAATAGATTTGAACTTTCTATTAGTGCAAGTACTTTAAAGTTCTGACGAAATAATTGGTATCTTAAAAGATTTGACCACAACTCCCAAAATCAAAAATATCACACAATATTATTTATAGCTTAGAAACCCTTGTATTTGCTTTAACACGATTATGACCATGTGCTCATCTTGATTTCATGAATATTTACAAAATCAACCCTTTAGATCTTGCTTGAAGCGACACCACTTCAATATACATATAGGTGAAATTAACTACTATGTCCCACATTTACTAATTTTATTAATAATTAACTCAACCTCCGTGTAACAGTCTGCACTATGGAGTTTGTCACTATGCCCCTGTTATTTTAAGCATTTAACAACTCCTCAATTTCTCACATAACAGTATGCAGTACACTTGAATCAATGCTCTAAAAAGAAAACTCGTGCTTTAGCAACACAAAGTAACTTGTTATTACCCGCTGAACTTGTATTGTCAAAGTGTATACTAACTCAAAGTTGGGTTCCCATCACTTATGTTTATTTTAAGGATTTTAGCCTTATTCATTCACACACTTATTACACTGCATCTTTTGAAACTAGATTTACAAGATTTATATAAATCATAAACAAATCTTTTACTTAGGCATATCATAGATATCATCATTATCTCAATAACTTAGAATTGTTGCATCAGTAGTGGCCATAACATTTCAAAATCATATTTTCTCAACCATTCCATTTCTTTTCAAGCATTTATATGTTAAATATATTCTTATAATTCCACTATGGAATTCAAGCCTGTTTTGATACAAAACTTATGACACCTTCATACATGTTTCAAATCCAACTTATATGAATTTTATCATCATTAGAAGATTCACTATTTATAGACCAGCACACCAATTCATCTATGTATGAAAGGTCATGTCTATGCAAAATTTATCTTACAACAAATACTTCTTTTCATGAAAAGTCACAATATTTCAAGTGACACTACTTCATGAAATTACATTAAAAAAAAATTACGAAGGCTTATAGCCTAATCATCGTATTAGCAGTTTAAAAAACTAATCATCACTAAAACTGTCAAGTTGTAAATATAACTATTATATCAAATACATCAAATATACATCTTGTGAGTGTTGAAGAAATAATTTATATCCTAAACTCTTCAAATATTATTGACTATTAATCATAATCCAAGCACATAATCCGTAATACTTTAGAGAGAGTAGGTCTAACTTCTCACTAGAAAAACCCAAATTCTATCATAACCAAAATATGAACTATTGCCAAGAAAATTTACATCCACCTGCGCCACCCGACACTGAAATCATTGCTGATACAATTATGGATACTGTGACATAAACTACAGAGGAAGAGAAAGCCAATTTCAAAGAAAAACTTATCACACTATATCCACCGATTGAAGCACAACAAATCCCAAAAGGACCAAATCTTGAAGTGGATATGCTTATTGATCATCCTAACACATCAATTAACAAAGGAAAAGGAATCCTTCAGGATAAATTGGCAGAAACAGAGCAAGATGATATGTTTGACAGATGAAGAGAAAAAAAGAATCTATCAACCTTGGACATACTCAATCATCATCAAAAATATCTTTGGAAAAAGAATCAGTCATTAATATCTAAAAAGGAAACTAGCCAATTTGTAGAGAGTTTCAGAGGATATTGTATTAATTGATCTGGGACATGACTATTACATTGTTAAATTCTACAAAGAAGAAAGCTTACAAAGAACACTACAACATGGTCCTTGGTTTATTAACGGATATTTTCTATCAGTTAAAAGGTGGCACCCCAATTTCGTCGCCTCTGAAGCCATGGAAACATACTCTGCTATATGGATTAGACTTCCAGAACTACCCACGGAGTTCTACGACCACTCAATTTTAGCAAAAGTAGGTAAAAAACTTGGCAAATTGGTTAAAACAGATGTATGCACTTCGGCCACTCTACGAGGACGATATGCACGTATATGGGTCGAAGTCCCCATTGGTATCCCGGTCAAGAAGTTCATTTACATAGGATACCATAGACAACCCATTGTATATGAAGGCAGTGGCGAAGTTAGGATTTTTAATAAGGGGTTCAAAATCGAAAGAATTAAACACACGAACTAACCAAAGGGGGTTCAAAATCTGATAAACTAAACACATGAGCTAACCAAAGGGATTCAACATCTACTATATATATATATATAAAAAATTTAACCATGTATAAATAGTAATATTTTTCGCCGAAGGGGGTTCGGACGAACCCCCAAACAGAAGTCTGGCTCCCCCCTGTATGAAGGAGCAGATATATTATGCACCGGTTGTGGGGTACTTTGGGCACACAGTACAGAATTGTATAAGCAAACAGCCACCTCAAGAGCAACCAAATAGAGACAAGGACAGAGAAGAAGACAAAAGCATGAGTCAATTGAGCATCGGAGAGGATGAAGTGCCTTGGCAAACAATAACCTTCACTAAATGGAGACAGCAGATAAGAAGACCAACATAGAGCAACAAGAACGACGACCCTCGATAACACCCCATGTAAAACTAGTATCGTTGATACCGATGAACAGAAAGTAGAAAAAACTCGAACTAATGCGAGAGACAAGAAGCGAAATAGTTGTGTTAAAAGAGATAAAAGTAATAATATAATATTCAAGGAAAAATTCGAAAAGAAATGCATCCCTATTTGTCATCAAATCCATTAAAAGGCTTAATAGATATCAGAAGCCCTTACATCTCATAGAGAGAGTTATGTGTTGATAATGAAGTCAATAATGAGAAACAAGGAAGCTCCGTTAGAATCCATGAGGAACACTTCGTCAACAATGAGAAACAAGGAAGTTCCGTTAGAATCCATGAGGAACATTTCGATGATAACACCACTCCAACTGAACATATCCATGAATTTAATAATATGGAATTGTAGGGGAGGAAATGGACCTGACTTTAGAAGGAACTTTAGATCATTGTTGGATCGGCATAAGCCACCATTAGTAGCCTTGCTGGATACAAAAATGGTGAATCACCAAGTTTTACTTGATGACTTTCATTTCAACAAAATGATCGAGGTTCCAGCCGTAGGAAACTCAGGATGTCTCGTTGTGCTGTGGGATGATAACGTGCTAGAACTGGATGAAATTGCTACAACTGAACAGGAAATCAATGCAATGATCAAGGTAAGTGCTACAAATATCTCCCGGTTATTTAGTTGTATTTATGCTAGTACATATCGAAATATGCGTAAAATATTATGGCAAAATCTCCAAACTATCAAAAATAACTTTGGCGGAAGGTGGCTTATAGGTGGGGATTTTAATGAACTTATATCTAACTCAGACAAAAAAGGCGGGAATGCTTTAAGTAACCCTCGCACAAGAGACTTCTGGAATGTTATAAGTTATTGTGAATTTATAGACATGGGTTTCAAAGGTAATAAATATTCTTGGCTAAATAAAAGGTTTAAAAATAGAAATGCCTTCATTTTTGAAAGACCAGACCATTTTTTTGCAAATAATGAATGGCTCATGAGTTTTCCGGACGCTCAAGTTCTCCATCTCTCTAGAACTCACTCAGACCATTGTCCATTATTACTTAGTCTCCTAAAAAATGTCAACTTTAAAAAGGAACGCATTTTTAGATTCGAATCTATGTGGTCTTGTCACCCTGAACTTGTTAATATTATTCAAAATGTTTGAAATAATAATCCTAATCTCCCTACAGCCATTAACAAGTTTGTAAGAGATGTCACTATTTGGAATAGAGATACATTTGATAATATCTTCTATAAGAAGAATAAGCTCATAAGGAGACTACAAGGTATACAAAAATCTGAAAATTATCCTGAAAGTCACTTCCTAATAAACCTCGAGCAAAATCTTATACAAGAATATAATACTATTCTGAAAATGGAAGAGGAGTTTTGGAAACTAAAATCTAGAATAAGTTGGTTAAATGAGGGCGATGCTAATACAAAATTCTTTCACACATCCACCCTAAATCGTAGAAGGAGAAATAAGATTTTATCATTACAACTAGATGATGACTCATGGATATATGACCAGAACCTCATTATTCAGCACACTGCTGACTATTTTAAAATTTTATTTAATTCTAGTCATATAAAATCTAGCAACCACCCACTGATTTATGGAAAAATCAGTCTTTCTCCGAATGATAGCCAATACTTAGGAAAAGAACCAACAGAGGGGGAAATCCTTGATGCTGTGAGATCTTTTCAACCCTTCAAAGCTCCGGGACCAGATGGACTTCACCCCTTCTTCTATCAAAATTACTTGAAGAGTTAAATGATTTGTGGTCTGTGGGGACAAAAACCATTGATTCCTTTTCTAACGAGACATTTCAATTGCGAGTTGCTCTCATGTGGACCATAAATGATTTTCCAGCATATGGTTCTCTATCAGGATGGTGTACTAATGGTCAATTTGCATGCCCCTGCTGCAACATAAACACTCAATCTAAATGGCTGAAACATGGTAAAAAGTTTTGTTTCATGGGCCATCGGCGTTTCTTGATGCAAGGACATAAATATCGAAATGATGCAAAATCATTTGATGGGACTAAAGAATTAAGACCCGCACCTTCTCCTAT